GGTAGAGTGCCGTGGCATCACACAGCTCACAGCAACCTCCAGCTCTTGGGCTTAGGCGATTCTCTTGCCTCAGCCTCCTGAGTAGCTGAGACTATAGGCACCCACCACAACGCCAGGCTATTTTTTGGTTGCAGTTTGGCCAGGGCCAGGTTTGAACCTGCCACCCTCGGTATATGGGGCCGGTGCCCTACTCAATGAGCCACAGGCGCCGCCCAGATTTTCTGATTTTCTGACCTCTGATTGATGTGTCTGTGGAAGGGATTTTGAACCTAAATAGCAAATGAATTACAGCAAGTCTGCAACTCAAACATTAAGCTTCAAAAGGAGCTAAAAACAAAGTTATTTTTCCTTTTCTGAGGTGGGTAAATTAGAGACAAGCAGATCCAGTATCCCGGGGAACCAGGGCCAAGACCAGCACAGCCCGTATGTCCAAAGCCCCTACACTTCCGGAGAACTCCGGGCCTCTGCACCAGCCCCTGCAGATCTCCTTCCCTGAGCGCCCCCGGCTTCTCCCAGCCTCAGTTTCCTTCTCTGTAAAACGAGAGAATCTTGCCTACTCAGTCTGGATGTTACAGATTTGAACTTTTCAGCTGGCAACTGGGTGAGGACTGTTAATCCATGTCAGGGCCCTGGGCTGGATGAGCTCCTGGCGGGGAGGTGCTGTAGCTCCCGCTCTCTTTCGCAAACTGTCCCCCTTGGGCAGCCTGGAGAGCAATAGGCATTTGCCTCCATGTGGGTGACTTCCTCACTCCATGTCACCAGAAAGCATCGCAGCATGGTGGCTCCTAAAGCTATGGCAGACAGAGTGCTCCCCATCAACCCTAGGGACCCCTGGTGAACAGGGTCCCCGTTGTCTGGAACGCAGTGAGGCCTTGGCCTGAGATTGGGACTCCATACTTCGGCACGAGGAAGCTATTTTGTGGAATTCAAGAGAAAAGCCCCTGGGACAAACTAGCAGGTAACAGAGTCTGTGGGGACAGGCAGACCCAGGGTCAAGCCCTTACCTAGCTGCATGTGGCCTGGGCCAGATTCCCTCGCCTGCATCAGGATGGTGTGCAGACTGAGTAGCTAACATAGAAGAAGCCAGGCACAGGGCTGGGGCAGGGGCTGGGAGCCAGTGTTTAGTGGGGACAGTGGTTCAGTCTGAGGAAGTGAAAATGTTCTCAGGTGGATAGTGGTGATGGTCACAGAGCACATGGACATTCTAATGCCACTGAGCTGTACACTGATAAACGGTTAAGACGGTAAATATTACACTCTGAGTACTGTGTCAGACACGTGCACACACAGGGTCTCCATGAGGCCTGTGCTCAGTGAACACCTCGCCTGGAGGGGCTCTGATCTTTTCACGGTGCTGTAAAATCCCCATCTCTGCCAGCTTACAAAGCAAACAGATGCCAAGGAGGGAGCCTGACCTGTGCCATCATCACACTACAGAGGGGTCTCACCAAGGAACAGGGCCTGCAAGTCAGTGACTCAGGTTCAGTTCCCACCCTTGTGCCAGGTTTGTGTGGCATTGGGTGGTAATAATAGCTCCCAGCCTTGAGGTGTGTGCTCTGCAAAGCAGGAGGAACAGCCCTGACACAGGCTGCCGGAGTCCCCCCCCCAACCTCCAAGGACCTCTAGGTCATGTTGGCCAGCAGGGGGCCCCCAAGGCCCTCTCGGTGTCTCAGCCAGCACGCCCACTCCCCTCCAGGCCCTCTAGGTCATGCTGGCCCGCAGGGGGCCTTGATGATGGGTGCCTGTCCTCACCCAGGCCCTACCTTCTCTTAGGGAGAAACTCTGATGAGTAACTACCTCTGCTTGCTCAGGAAGCAGTTTCCAAAGCCCAAGTGGCCTGTTTTGAGCCTACGAAGATGTCATAGCTGATCACTTATTAACCTCTGAGTCTGTTTTTTTCTTTCTCTTCAGGCTCTGGAAGAAGTTATAAAAGCCGTTTGCTCGGGGCCTCTGAAGACCAAACTCATTAACCGGGAATGATTAATGGAGCCCTCCTGCTTGTTTATGCCACTCAGCCCCATCAACAACTGCACAAGTACGTTGTTTTTGTCTCCCTAGTGTTTTCATTCTGTTGTCTCCTGCTAATCCTGGTCCCCTTCCTGCCAAGTCCTTGGCTCTGTTCTTGACCTTGCTAGCCGACTGCCTCCTCCTCTGGGTCCACTCTCCTATGCCCAACCTTCTAAGCCTTTCTGAGTCCACGGGGACTGGCCCTGGGCACTGGCTTTCAGGCCTGTGGTCCATGTGGAGGCCAGTGAAGGGCCCTTCCGAACTGGCTGAGGCAACAACCTCTCATAGGGTCTCAAAGGACTTTCTGGAGGCGGCCAGACCCCTACACTCAGCTTGCACAGTTGCCTGCGCCACACCCGACCATCTGTGACTCAGCTGTGCGGTGCCACTGCAGACCTCTAACTAGCCTGAGTACCTGACCAGCTTGCCCTGCAAACTTACTCCTGGAGGCACACCTGTGCTCTAAGCTGTCATCTCAACAAGGCCCCAGTGAAAATCACCTCTTTCTAGGGACAAGGACTGACGCACTCATGTGAACTGTCCTCAGACACCAATGCCTGCTCTGTAATCAGTGCTGTCCCTGGTGCTTTATGCAAGGCAACGTGGGTATGATCATACCCATTTACCAGATGAGCAAACGGAAAATCAGAGGGGAGGAAACTTGCCCAGTGTCACATAGCATGCCAGGAGCTTGGAACGGTGCTATTCTAAGGCCAGATGCAGGTGCTCACTGGCTCTCATGGACATACCCTGGCTGCCAGTCAGTCACCTCTCAGTGGAAGCTCAGGCCCTGGAGGGGTGGGGTGTAGGGTTTAGAAGTACAGGAAAAAACCTCAGTCTAGACAGTTTGCCTTGGCAGGACAGAGGCCAGGATGGCCACAGGACAGCAGATCTGAACCAGGCTCCCTAACTGGAACTATTTGCAAAACACCCTGAGGCCTTGGATGCCCACCCACGTGTGTGCTCCAGGAAGTACAGAATGCTGGGTGTGGTGCAGGCTTCTCCTGAGCACATGTGACTAACCATGATGGCCTGGACAATGGTCAGTTCTGTGTCCCAGATGTTGGTTCCTTGCCTGAATTGCCATTTGCCGTGTCATCCCGGCCTGGGTGCTCCCCTGGAGCACATTGCTGTTGGGGTCTTGGCCTCCTATTTGTCATCTATGCCTTGATTGCAACAATATCCCCCAGATAGCCTGTCCCCTTGCCAGAGAGACAGCCTAGAGATTTGGGACAGATGTCCTCCTGCTGCTGCCCTGAGGCCTTCTCCATTCCAGGGGTTTTGAAGGAATCTCCCTGGCTAAAACTGCCGGAAGTCTGCTCAGAGGGGAGAAAGGAGTTGACCACCTCCCAGTGTCAATAAGAAGGTTTCCCAGAGTCAGGACCCCCTGGGGACAGCCACCCAAGGGTCATCCATGGACTTATACATACCTGGCTATCCAGTCCAAGCAAGAGAAGCATAATAAAAAAAAGAATGGACCAAAACGTGGGCAGCGGCATCATTGTCACAGCTTTTGGGTAGGCAATGAAGGCCAAGCCAGGACCTAAAAGGGAGAGAAAATGGGGAGGGGGGCACAAGAGGAAGGACATCAGTGACCAAGCCACTGGGAACACCGTGGCTCACACAAAGACACTCGGACCTGAGTGGGTCCCAAACACGCAAACACAGGGCAAAGCCAGGTCTGAACTCTGACCTGGAGAAAGAGACCAGGCCTGCCTTGCTTTTGGGTGGGACACGCTGGGGCCCAGGCGGGGCCCAGTTTTAGCATCTGTCTCCTACGCAGCACGAGTGGCCCCCTCACAGTGAGAATCCATGCAGACACTGGTTATTTGGGGTGGGACACAGGACTGAGCCTGGGGCTCTGTCTGCCAGGGACTCAGGAAAAGGAGGACCGCCTACCCCAGCCAGAGTCATTGCATCAACAACTTCTGCCAGAAGGAGGCAAAGGGGAAAGTTGTTACCTGGCTATGGGCACTTTCCTTTTCAAAGAAAAGTTTTCTGAGTATGAGTGAAAAGAAAAAGAATGCAGAAGCACACTCCGTAGGGCAAACACCTGTTCAGAGGCGTGTTTGCACCTGCCCTGGCAAGGTCACGGCCAAGCGACCAGGCGAGGTTGGGCCAGCTAGGACCCAAAGCTGAAGGAATGGGGGTGCAGGGGCAGGACCCCAGGCCAAAAGACCCCAGCCTGCATTTGAGTCCTTGTCCTACCATTTCCTCTCTGTGTCACTATCACCTCAGCCCTCTCTGCATCTCAGTCTCCCCACCTGAAGAGTGAGGGCAGGCAAAATGCACCGTGGTTAGGGTTAGGGTTAGCTTTGGGTTTCAAAAGTGAGGACGCTGCCAGAGCCTAGAGGCAGAGCTGGGAAAGGCAGGAGCTCTGTCAGCGCAGGGGGGGCCTTTCTGATGGGAGTTGTTCTGGAGACACAGAGATGTTTCCTCAGGTCTCCAACAGGCCTGAGGGCAGGAGCCAGGGGAAAGGATTTAGTTATGAACGGAGACTTGTGAGTCTGAGGAGTCGAGGGCAGCACAAGAAAGTAGGCCTAAGGGGCCCGGGCTAAGAAAAATATAAAATCTACAACTAAGAACAGAACAAACAAAAAAGAAAACAGAAAGAAAAGTCTAGAAGGGAGAAACAAAAAGGGCTAGAGAAGAGTAGGACATGGGGAAGATTTTTTGTTTTTTAAAGCAAGTATCAGCAACTAAATAAATGGTTTAAGAGTAAAAAAAAAAAAACAAACTTTGCAGTAAGTTGGAACCAGAAACCACATGATACGGCACTAACAATCCCCAACGCGGTGGGGAAGGGCGAGTCCTTTTTCAATCCAGAGTCCTCTTGGCCTGAGAAAGTGCAACCAAAACAGTGTCCTAGGGTGGCAGGAGGGCTGGGTGCCGCCATGCTAGAAATGCCACAGGAAGTGGATGGAGTGGTGCTTTCCCCAGGCCCAGAGCTGCTCAAAGGACATCCAAAGGCCAAAGGGACAAGGGCTGGGCTCAAAAAACTATGCCTGCCCCCACAACCCCTGAGAACTTTGGAATCAAAAGCCGCAGCGTTTCTGCCTGGGCTGGGGTCTACTGGTCCCCAGTGTGTCAGCTCTGGCTCTGACTGGTCCACACCGAGGGTGAGGAATCAAGTCCGGCCAACTGCGAGACAGATGTAAAATGGGGTCCCCCCGACCCCTCCCACCAGGGCGCGGTGAAGACTCTCAATTTGCTTGTTTCTGTATTTCAGTTTTGCCTTTCTCAAGCCAGCCTCCGGGCGAGGGTCTGAGCATCTTTCTCTAAAAGCACATGGTGAACTCAAGAGAGCGAGAGAGAGAAATCTGGGAGAAATACCCAGCACTGGAGAACCTCTGGATGCCTCTCTGCTGGCAGAAATCGCACCAAGCTACGTCTTGTTTGCACTCTGTTAGGCTAAATAATTATCTCGTTCAAATGCACTTTGCTCAATATGGTGCTTGTTAAAAGCTTATTAGAGAAATAATCACCCTTGATGTGCCGGCTGTTCAGACATCACCGTGGGGAATAAATGACAAGGTTTTTGAAGTGGACGGGAAGAAGAAAACAACTCAGGTTGACGATATATGCATCTTTGAAAATACCTAGTTGTCCATGGAGGAAGATATATTTTCTATATCTATCTGTCTCCCAATGCCAAATCCACTTGCGCTCCTTACACTTCCCAGTTAATCGCAATTTGTTTGCAAGCCCTCAGCAGAGGAGTGGCGAACTGTCCCTGGCTCCCCACCTCAGGTTCTAACTGCCAAACTCCCAAAGGAGTGTGGGCACTTCTGGAATTCCTTTCTGTGTCCTCAGTCTCTGGCCTGCCTTTGGGGGCTCTCAGGGGGCAAATAGTATGTGTGAAGGCCTGGCTTGGAATCAGGGCAATGGGGAGGTATGTGGATTTGCCAAAGTGGTCCTGCAGTATTGGGGTCTAGCATGGGCTGGCAATGGAGGTCTTTCCTGAGGGAGGACAGTGAAAATGGGCCTGGAGTGCTGAGAGGTCAGAGGGACCCAATATGTGGGAAAGGTCAGGGGTTGTCCCATGTGTCCAGGGTGGGATGGGGAGGGGTAAGAGGAGGACAGCCTCGTGTCAGAAGGGCCTGTCCAGCACACGGACAGAGTGTCCACAGATCCCCCATTCTGACCCCAGCCAGCCTGAGCAGGGCCCTTGATCTCAGGCCATGGGTCTCCTCATCTGAATAGTAGTCATCCGGATGCACAATACCAGGGTGCCTCCTGCCCCTCCAATGCAAAGGTTCTATGATGAGGGAGCTAGAACATTGCCTTATGTTCTAAAAACAGAAGACAGAGGTGGCAAAAGGCAATGGTGCAGCAGGGACCCCAGCCATGCTGGCCCTGGTCTGTGGTAGCCCCTAGAGTCACAATCCTCACACCCTCCCCTCAGCTTGAGAAGAGCCTCAGCTAGGGGCTGTCACCAGCCTCCAGGAAGTGAGGGTAGGGGGTGCTGGGGCTAGGGCCTCAGTGTGCAAAATAACCAAAACTCCTAGGCAACTGGTGACACTTCCCCCACAAGTGAGGCAGGGCTGAGGAAGCGTGTAGAAGCTGGAAAGGTGGGATTTGGTGATCCTGGGGCCCTAAGGGAATCCTACAGCCCAAGTCAGTCCAGTTTTAAAACTGTGGGCACTAGACTACAAGCAGCCATGGCCACATCCTAGAATCTCGGCACCCAAGATGCTATGGATTCCAGCAACTGAAGGCCCTGTGTAATTCTCAGGTTCCAGAATCACCTTGCTGGGACTCCAGGATGAGTCTGTGATGCTGAGACTTCATGAGTCTCTGCTCCTCTGACTCCAGAGCACCCAGTTAGCAAGGCCCACACCCTGGGGGGAAGGTGGTGGTGGTGGTATCCTCACAACCTACCCTCAAATCACATCTGTCCTTGCCCCAATGGACTGTCCCCTTCATCACCCCTCACTGTGCCCCAGTGCCTACAGTGGTGCCTGACAGAGGAGGGACTCGGCAGAGAAAAATCTGTGTGACGGATGGGTATAGGTTTGCTTCAAGGGAGTGCACTGGGAGCAAAGTGCAAAATACAGAAACCAAGGCTGAGAAGCTGTGATGGAATGCCGATTGGTGGCTGACTTGGGCCTGAGTTGGAAAAGTGGTTTCTCTTGCTGAATCCAGTAATTTGCTGGGAAAGGTGGGTAGGGGCGGGGAAGACAGCACTCAGGTAGCTAAATATTCCCCAACTTAACCACCCCACCCTCCCGTCGTTTCTGCGCTCCTTGGGCCAAATTGCAATAAAAATGTTCAAATAAAATTGAGCTTTTTCACTTTTTGATGTTTGGGGGACATCTTGGTGGGGGGGGTCCATTTTAGAAACCAGGTTCGCCCCCCCCAAAGCCCCCTGGGGTCTGGCTTCATGCCTGCAGTACTTGGCTTACACACTAGGTGGCAGTGCCCACCACCACTGCCACCGATACCACCGTACCTGACTCAGCCACATCAGCAATGTCCACCCCTTGCTCTTGTGCCATGAAGCCCAGGATGGAAAAAATTGCGAAGCCAGACACAAAACTGGTACCACTGTTCAGGCATCCCAGCAGCAAACAGTCCCTAAGTTACACATATGTCAGGGAGCAAGTTAATTCACAACACAAGGAAGCCACGCTCCCTACTTCTCTTTTCTTTAAACATCATTATTTCTAAAGTCCACGGGGCCCGCTGGCGCAGCACTTGCCTGTACGAGTTGTACTTGTACTTGTTGTAGCTCCCCAGCGAGGTCATGGCCCCCAGGCAGATAGCATAGGAGAAGAATATCTGGGTCCCCGCGTCGATCCACACCTGTGAGGGTGAGAGGGACGGCAAGGAGAGAGTGAAGCACTGTTAGAGCAGCTTCTTTGAGGAGGCAGCCCAAGTTCTTAGCCACCTAGAATGGGCCCAAGGCCAGGCCTTTACAACATGGAGATTCTTTATTGCAAATGGACTCTGAGGTGCCTTTCAAAGGAATAGTGAGTGGCTGGGAACCGCAGAAATCAAAGACACCCCCCATTCCCACTTATTGAAGTTAAGAGGTGGGGTTTTTAAAGCAGATGAATCTGGATTCCAACCCTGGAGTGATTGTGGATAAGTAAATACCATTACTGGAGCCTCGGTTTCCTCATCTATAAAATGGGCCCCCTGCCCTACCCAACAGAGCTATTTTTCAGGTTCAAACAGTGGAGATTGAGCTCTGCACAAGTCAGGGCTGCTATTATCATCGTGATCATTATTGTCTGGGCACCGCTGATTAGAATGGGAATTCCCAGTGGAGTATCAGGTTCTCTGCTCGCCAGAACCTTCACCAAGAAACTGCTGATTGCCACAAAGCTACCTTTCTCAGCTATCCTCTGGTGCTGGCTAACTCCCTTCTCACCCACAGTTTTTTCCAGGTAGCAAGGACAGTGGGGCAGGAGACTCTAAGCAGCACAGGCTATTAGGAGGCAGTTGCAAGGCTGAAGACCTGGGGATGAAATGCCTTGAATGGGCCCCTAGGGTTTTCCAACTCCTAGATCTCCTAGGGTTTTCTCCAACTCTCTGGGGTCATGTGGCTGAGTACCAAGAGGTGGATTTCAGTATTTGCCCCTCAACCTTCCAAAAGGCCATTGACTCTGAATTTCATTCTCAGCTGAGAATGCCAGCAGCTCCATAGGCCCTGACTCTCCTGCCCCCAGGATGCAACCTTCCAGATGCTGTGGGCAGAAGCTTGGTCCAATGGGGCGATTAGCTTAGGAGATGACTTCTCTCCCTTACCCGGTACAGTGCCTAAAGCAGACTCTATAAGTGGCCATCCTCAGGGGTCCTTAACATTGAAAGGGATACACACAGCTGGAAGTCCATGAGCACTGTGAACACTGTGCCTGCCACAGTCCAGTGGAAAAGTACCAGGGGGTGATGGCCTGGCTGGATTTGTGCATTGAAGAATTGCAGAAAATGTGCTGCCCACTGCCCTCTGCACCTTGACCTGTTCTGTACCAGCCCGGCTCGGGGTGGGAGGGAGGACAGCGTGGCATGGCCCCATAGTACCTGTGGGTCCTCGAGGCGGCTGATGTCAGGGTACAGATAGAACTTGATGCCTTCCCCTGCACCGGGCAGCGTCAGCCCACGGATCAGTAGCACCAGGAGCATGGCGAACGGGAAAGTGGCTGTGAAGTAGACAACCTGCAGGGGACGAGAGGGATTCAGGTGGGCCCACGGGCAACACCTGCTACTGTGAAATCCAAGCATCCCCTCCAAGAGGCAGGAGAGCACAACGGGAAAGAGTGGGGGCTCTGGAGCCAAGTTTGCTGTCTTGCTCTGCGGCCTTCAGCATGGTGCCTAACCTCTCTGGGCCTTAGTCTTCTCACCTGTACCCTGGGTATAATATTAGCACCTATCTCGTAGGTTTACCAAGATTAAATGAAGAAATCCTATAGTTAGTTTCATCTCTTATGTCCTAGACATACATCACCCAAGGCCTAAATGTAGTGGGGGACCACACAGAAAAATTCCTGCCCTCATGGAACTGACATTTCAGCAGATAGAGATGGAAGACATATGAGAATAAACTATCAGGCATGTGTGTAAAAGGCTCAGCCCAGTATTGGCACGGGGCACTCAGTACGTACCAGCTAACAACTAACCATGACTGTTAGTAGGATTCCTATCGTTAAGAATCAGGTCAGTGTGGGTTCAGATCCCACCTCTGTCCCCTCACTGGCTGTGTGACTTTGGGCAAGTTGCTTAACTTCTCTGGCCTCAGTAGAATTTGGTAATACAAGCCCATCATCAAGGGGTGAGGTAAGGATTTAGGGACACAATGGTTGTAATGATGTCAGAATAGCACCTGGCACTTAGTAGGTGCTCAAGAAATGGGTCTCACCACCAACATCATGATTTTGTGGTTAGCACATGGGAACTTATGGCAAGGAAATGAGGCCTCTTGAAGATCCTCAGCCAGGAAGGTGGAAAACACTTCTCTTCCCTGAACCATGCATCCCAGACAGACCAAGGTCAGGTGTGACATGAGGACAAACAATGACCTGGGCTAGGCCTTCTCTTCCCCCAAGGACCTGCCCTACTTTTTCTCCTTCTCCTGTCCTGCAAGCACTGGAGGTTCTCGCAACTCTCACAGAAGGGTTTTCTCATCTTTTTATTCAACATGAGAAGTTTCCAGGCAAGATTTCTGCCTGGGAGGAGCTCAAAGGTGCCTGGCTGAAAGGGCAGTGAAATCCTAGTATTTCAAAAAGGGCCAACCAGCCCGTCCTTTCCCGAGGGCAGGAGAGACCGAGAGGCAGTGAGGACGAAGCTGAATGAGGACTCCTCAGGCACCACTTCCTCCATAGCACAGTCCCACAACAGGTGGTCTTCCCCAGAGGAACTGAGGCTCAGCAAGGCTCAAGGATGTACCCTGAGCATCTCAGAGTGCAGAGTCCATGCAAGGGTAACTCCCTCTCCCTGAGCAAAGGTGGGAGGTATGGCACTTCTCCAGTGGGGGAACAGAGAGGTCACCTGAAACACTGAGACTGGCCCCCGGGGCCCCCACTATCTCTGGGGATCAGGAACCAGGGAGGAGCTACCGCATGGTCAACATACCCATTAACAGGTGAGGAAACTGTGACCCAGAGAACAGGATCAATGTGCCCATAGGGGGCCAGTGCCAGAAAACTGCAGGGTACTTCTGAGGCCCAGGTAGGTAATAGACACCAACAGGACTGACAAAGCCCCAAACCTCCCCCAGCTGGCAGGGGGACCCTCGAAAGAGCACGATCTCAGGTGGCCATTATCCCTGTGAGTAGAAACAACCAGAACAGGGCTTTGGAAGAGGCAAAAGGAAGCTTCTAGGGCTTGCGTGGCTTAGCTGCCCTACGCCAGACAACTGTAGCCTGTATATATTGAGGGCCAGCCCTGTGCCTGGTGCTCTTCCAAGTGCTGTAACTTCTCTGTTCGCATGTTCCCGCCCTGCCCCTTCGAGGTGACTCTTATTACTGTCTCCATCTTGAAAGCAAGGAATCTGGGGCCCAGAGGGAGCCTAGCACTTGCTCAGGGTCACACAGTGCTCAGGCAGCAGAACAGGACCTGTCCCAGCAGAGCAGGAAAAAGCCTTCCACGGCTGCCAGCTTATGGGTTCCCCAAGGCCAGAGAGAAGCTGGGCTTCCCGAGGCTGGGGTCCGGCTTGGGCGTGAACTCAAACTCAGTGACCAGCCTGTTGCTGTGAGACCTCAAGCAAGTCATTGCCTCTCTCGGAATTCCGTTTCCCCACCTCAAAGTGAGGGGCTCGGACCAGACAAACTCTGAGGTCAGCTGGGGCCTGTCCAGATGGGGATCTGTGCTACCTCTACCAGTTCCCCACTGGCAACCTTGGCCTTAGCTTCCCCAACTATGTGGCCAGGACAAAAGGAGTGTGGGCCTTGCTAGCTCAGCAGGGAGCCTGCATGAGCTCAAGAAACCTCAGTGGCGGATGTGGCCATGATGATCCTCCCAGACTGAAAGGGTGGGCTCCACTGCAGCTTCTGCCACACCCTCCACAAGCCCTTTCTTCCTCCAGACCTCTGTTTCCCCAGCCACCCTTTTTTATTCTCCTTGATACCAGGAACCCTCACAATTTCCCAAGGATGGGGAGGTAGGCATGGAGGGCGGGGGATGTCAGGAAGCCAGAAAAGGGGGGGAAAGAAGTGCAAAAAGAAAGCCAGCCAGCCCCTCCCTTCCTGAGGACAGGAGGGACTAAGGGACAGACAGGGCCACCTCTGCAGCCCTGTGTGGGCCCCAGCGGAGCTGGTGGACAATAGCTGCTGACAGCAGCCTGGCGGGGTCCCCAGAGAGCAGCCACTTCAAAGCCGGCTGGGCCCCCACTGGGCCAAATAACCAGGCTGTGGCCAGAGGACTTTGTGTTAGGGACATGGGTGTGGAGGATGCTTTCCTTGTTTTCATGTATTTAATTTAACAAGCACTTATGTGGTGTTTATTGTGTGCCAGGCACTCAGCTAAGAGCTTAATGAGTATTAACTCATTCAATCCTCACAGCCTGGAAGAGTTGGATATTATTATCACCTGCATATTTTAGATAAGAAAACTGGAGGTCCAGAGAGGGGGAGTCCCCTGCCGGGGGTCACAGTTAATAGTAGGTGGTGGAGAGGGTTTGATTTAGGCCGGCTGGGCTCAGGTCCCCATATTTTTGCAGTGTGCAGATGTTGTGGTTATTCTCCCCAAATCCAGCCCGGACAGCACCTCCTCATCATACCACCTCAGCTGCACCTTCAGAAAGCCGCTTTTGTTTTGTAGAATTTGCTGCTCTGAGGAAAAGCCCCTGAGAGCCATTCTCTCAACTTTTCCATGACTCCCCTGGGATCCTCCAGGGAGAGGCTGGTGCCAGCCGCCACCAGTAGGCCTCTGGTGGGGGCCCCGCAGGCCTTGCCGTGGGACGTGGTATTTTTCCACTCCTGCTGGTGAACTTCCGTGGCTTCTCTGAGCCCTCGACCCAAAAGCCCTGTGGCCCCACTGCACCAGTTTGGGGTGGGGTAGAGTTGACATCCTAAACCAGGTGTGGCTCTGACCCCCCCACCTTTGTTTCCAACCACTGGACAAAAGGAGCTGCCCGGGAGGCCAGTGATGCAGAGCTCCCACTGACACCAGCACTCACATCCAGGGCCTCACCCCCGTTTGTGTCCACACGGCTGCACTTCCTGTGTGTCTGGATCTCTGTTCCCTTCCTGGACCCCATGCTCTGTGAGGGCAGGGACATACCCCACTGACCACATTCTCGGGCTGGCACAGGGGTGAACTCAGGAGGCAGAAGAGTGAGGGGCACCCAGGTGGGGTGTGGGGCTGCCTGAGTTCAAATCTCAGCTTGGCCACTGGCAAGCTGTGTGATGTTGGGCAAGTTAATTAACCTCTCTGGACCTCAGTTTCCCCATCTGTAAAATGGGGCTCTTCACTACACATAGCACAAAAGATTATGAGGATTAAATGTGCTAATGTGCTAATGAGCAGCACCCAGTACAATGCCTGGCACACACATGGCCCACAGCATTTGCCACCATTATCACTCACTATTTGTTGATGAATTAAACTGAAACCTACTCTGGGCCAAATTTCAGACCCTTAGAGTAGCAGAAATTATAAAAAAAGAAATTGCAACTTAGGGAGTCAAAGTGACTTGAACTCAGGTCCTGAGCCTCTCAAGTCCAGGTCCTCCTTCCCTCTACCGCCGCTCTTTCCCACTGGACCAGCATCAATCATGGAAGCAGGGCCAGGGCCAGGATGAGGCCTGTCTGCTGCCTGTGAGCCCAGCCCCCATGCAGCTGTGAACCTGGTCTGCGGCCAGAGCTGGAAGCCATGGTCAGCAGGCAGGCAGGCGGGCAGGCGGCCTCCCAGCCGTGGAGCTTGAGGAACCTGTGTTTGTCTTGGCTTCTCTGGGCTGGCCCAGGCCCTGCTATTGTTCTGGGAACTATGCCTGCCACTGGGAGGCCAGGAGCAGCCCCACAGAGGAGGCTGTCGCTAAGGGTGAGGTGGGAGACCTCACCCTGGAAAGTTACGTCTTTGCTGAGCTACGGGCGCAGGCTGGCACCTCTATTTTGGCTTTGATGTGATTCTCTTGCATGTTCCATTATGTCTTGAAGGTTGCTCACTGTTCTCGGTGGATGTCAGCCTCTTTTATCAGCCTGGGGCTCCCCAAGGGTCTAGGTCAGACAGGGCCTTTGCACTGACTGTTCCCTCCTTCACATCTTTGCCATGAGGTCACCTGCCCAGTGAGCCTTGCCTGGCCACCTGATTTATTATAAAACTGCTCCCAACACTCCGTGGTCTCCTTTGCTGCTTTATTTTTTCCCCACAGCTCTTGCAACCATCTGAATGTGCATTTTTCACATTCATTTTATTATGACCTGATGCTTCTTGCCAGGCTGTCAGCTCCTAGATGACAGATTTTTGTCTGTTTTTTTTTTTTTTAAGACAGAGTCTCACTTTGTCACCCTTGGTAGAGTGCCATGGCGTCACAGCTCACAGCAACCTCCAGCTCCTGGGCTTAGGCGATTCTCTTGCCTCGGCCTCCTGAGTAGCTGGGACTACAGGCACCTGCCACAACACCTGGCTATTTTTTTGTTGCAGTTTGGCCAGGGCTGGGTTTGAACCTGCCACCCTTGGTATATGGGGCCAGCACCCCACTAATTAAGCCACAGGCACCGCCACTTTTGTCTGGTTTTTTTGACCACTGCATGACCTCCAACTCTATTCCTATAACAGCACCTGGCACATGGGAGGGGCTCCAAAAATACTAGCGTATAAGGAAATAATTATGTTTCCAGCAGGGCTTGGCATCTCGGCTCCGTGGAAACTCTTGATAGATCCCCTTCTGTGTGGAGAAACTGAGGCAGATGGCAGAAGGAAAATGGCATTTATTGAATAGTCTGTGCCAAGCATTGTGCTGGGTATTTAACACCCTTTGTTTTAGGGCAGAGATGAAGGAGTGACCTTGGATAAATCACGTGACCTCTCTACGTCTCAGTGTTCTTATGGTTCAAAGGAGGGTAAGGGCATTGTGTGCTCATAAAACAGAGCCTTGGGGTGGCACACAGAAGTGCTCTCCCAGGAGGTGTGGGAAATACTCGTGTTCCCCTCTTCTTCCTGTCCTGGGTGGGACCATTCATGAGCTGGGGCCACTGCTGGGTGTGGGTGTGCAGGTTTCTGAGGCCTGGATCACTTCTTTCCCACAGGGGGGCTATGCTCTTAGAAGCAGGCAGAGGGCAGGATGGCTCCACCTCTGCAACCCTGGGGTCCCCACTCTGGTCAAGCCGGTGATTAGAGAGATTACCTGGCTCTGCACAGACCCAGGATTTCGCCTCTGCAGGGGCTCGTCAGGAAAAGTGTGTCCCTTAACCCTTAATTCCATTAGGTGCTGGAGCAGCCAAAGCCCCTTCTCCAAACAACTCTGCCTGGTGCCCATAGCAGCATCTGGAATGCCACCTTAAGATACATTTTTGACTCTGGATTTTTTTTTTTTTTTTTTTTTTTAGCTTAAAGAGATTTTTTTCTCCCATCAAGATGAGGGAGCCAGGCCAACATCTGTGGGCAGATTGCTCACACACCTTTGTTATTTACATGCCCTGGGCTCAGGCTCACACCTTTAATCCCAACAGCTCTCCTCACACTGATTTTTGTCATCAGAACCATATCATTTAATGTCATGGTCATCAGGTAATTTTCCAGCTTGAATTAGTTACATAAATGTTTTAGGTATTGACTAACCTTTTCATCGTTGCTGATATATAAATTGCACTTACAACCTTGATTACAAGCTAACATTTTCATGATTAGCTGCTGCATTTGCTAATCACCAATATCCTAGTCACTGTAACATATTAACCAGCAGCAGATACCTTAGTTACAGCTAATGCTTTAGGTAACAGCTAACACGTTGTCTAGGAGAGAATGATTGAATCATCAGCTAGTATTGCCTTAACGAACATCAGAGTTACTGGCTGAAATGTCAGTTATAAAATAACTCAGTTAATCTGATTTAGCAGATAAAATCCAAACCAGTACTTCTCAATCCATTTGGATTATCTGGGAATACCGTTAAAATGTAGCCTCTGATTCTGCAATTCTTACAAGCACCCAAGAGCTGCAGATGTTGCAGGTGGCAAAGTAAGCGACCCTGCTGTGGGCTAATCGTTTGTAATCAACAGCGCACTTGCCAAGTTAACCTTTTGTTTCCAGCTAACTTATCAGTTACAACTCTAACATTAGTTATCTGCTAATATCAGCTCTAGAGAGCCTGCCTCCATAATTCTCAGGAATTTTGCAGGTTAGTCTTTGAACCATGAACAACTTGAAATCAGACGTGGTAGGAGCATGAAACAGGCAAATACTACAAGCCAGGGCTTTATTTTTTTCCCCCAGGACTAGTCTATCAGTACAGTGTGACCTCTGGCCACTCCCCTCCTAGACCTGGCCCCGTAGGCCAGGAAGGGCCGGCCTGAAACAACTGTCCAGAGGCGGGGAAGGGACAAAGGGACGAGTCCAACTTACCTTCCCCGTGGACCTGATGCCCTTCCAGATGCAGAAGAAACAGATCAGCCAGATGAAAAGAAGGCAGAGAGCAAGCTCCCATTTCAGAGCACCCGGGTGGTCGATTCCAGGGGACAAGCTCAGGACTTTGCGCCTTCAGGCAAACAGAGAAGGAGAAGTCAGTGGGGGGCTGAGCCCCCAGGGCCGAGAGAGCTGAGCCTGGATTCTAAGGGGAGGGGGTCAGAGCTTGCCTTGGAAGCTGCGTTTGCACAAGCTGCCTTGCCTTTCCCAAACCTAGAATTCTCATTTGTCTTAGGACAAGAGTTATTGGGAAGTCAGGCAGCAAATGAATTCAGGCTCCTAAGTCAGGCAAACCCAGGTTCAACTCAGCTTGGCCTCAGGCAAGTTAAGCAGCCCCTAAGCCTCAGTTTCCTCATCTGTAAAATAGGTACTAATTCTCTGTTGGGACTTCAGCAGAACCTTCCTCAGTGCCCAGTGTGGGCCAAACACTGGGTTCAAATCTCAGCTCCACTGTTCATGCAATTGCTGACTCTGTGCAAATTATCAAGCTTTACCGAACCTCAGTCTCCTCGTCTTTACAATGGGGTCACTACCCTCCTCCAACACTGCTGTTCCATCCCTCTTTTATTTTATTCACCCTGGTATGTTATCTGGATCCCTCAATAAAATGGAAGCCACACAAAGTCCTAGATGCAGGGGCTGGGAGGCGCCAGCACTGGCTGAACCTCAGCCCCTGTGACCATCCTGGCTTTAAGATGCCCAGGGAGGCTTCTGGGACATAGCTGGTTTCCTCTTCTGCTCCCTGCCAGGGTTTTGAAGGAGGAGGCAGGTAGATAATCAGGGTAATCAGTATGGGGCAGCCACCAGCCCCGCCCAGGATCACAGGCAGAGCCTTTGTCTTTGGATTCAAGACTCAGGCTTCCTGCTGGCTCTTGGCAAACATGCACACACACCCCCCCTACTCCAGGCACGTTCTCTGTGGGGGCATTATCGCTTGAAAGCAGGGCAGGGCAGGGCAAGGCAGGGCAAGGCAGGGCACAGAGCTGATGGACAATAAGGCCATGAAACTTAATGCCCAGAAACAGCACCCATTGGTTGCCTCAGAGTTCTGTCCTCTGCAACAGTAACTGAGGACAGCCAGGCTAACCAGAGGGACACTGGCTCTGCCCACTGGTCCTCCAAGTTTACTTGCCTATCAATTTCCAGGGTGCTGAATACAGGAGACAGGGTCCTCTGCAAGAACCAGGATTCCTTCCAATGACAGTCCCCTGTTGAAAGGCATGCTCCCAAACAAAAGAGGCAGGGAGTGAAATGTCACTTAGTGCCTCAGTTTCCTCTTTTGTAAAATGAGAATAACAGCTGTTGTCCAGAATGCTGCTTGGGAAATATCCCACGTGCTCAGCTAGTCCCTGGGATTATGTCCACAGTCAGGGCTGCGTTCTCAGAATGCTCACTGGCTAGAACATTTTTTCATCTCTTTTCTTTTTTTTTTTTTTTCCAGAGAAGCTTCAACATAGGGACTTTGAATAAATCCAAGATTCAACTGGCATTCAAGCAAGGCCTTTCTTTCCTAGCACCTGGAACAGCAGGTGGCACATTACAGCAGCTCAATAAATACCTGTTGAATGAATGAGTGAAAGGACTCGACTGGGATGATGGTGAGCTTGCACGTCACTCTGGACCAATCCATGAGATTCTCCCACTAACAAGCCCCAAGAAAGGGGATGCTTTCCTTTGTCATTTCCTTGCTAGTCATAGTGACACCAATGGGCTCCCCCAGCACCAGGGATGTCATCATGATAATGCTGATGATCAAACAGAAGTGACCAGTGACTGCCTGCTTGCCAAGGCCTTTTCAGTTTATCTCATCCATTCCATGGGATACAGGTCATTCACCCCATTTTACAGATGGGAAAACTGAGGCTTAGAAGGTCCACTTGCCCATAGCCACAAAAATAGCAGGTGATATGCAAAGCTGCCAACACAAACTCAGGCCCCTCAGACTCCAAAGCCAGTGCTCTCTTCACTACACTGCTGGTCTGATTTTCAAACAAAACAGAGCCTATATCTTTGAACAGAATCTCTCAGTCTTCTGCTACATCCTAGGGTTACCTGCTACCTCAGGGTTGGGGGCATCTTCATGAGGCAGGCTGTCGGCCAACTGGGGCCCTGCCAAGCACGTGAATTCGGCAGCCGTGGCCACTTTCAAACAGAAAGCCCTTCCCCATGCAGTCTCCAGTGACAGTCCAGCCTGCTGGCCAGTAGCCCAAGGCTTCCTTGTCAATGGGCAGAACCAGGAAGAGAAGAAGCACTTTCCATGTCCACACCTGCACAGGCACTGCCAGCAAGTTCCATGCTCTGTCCAGGCCGCAAGGGGTGGCTTCTCTGATGTTCTGAACTGTAAAGTTCCTGCCCATCTCCCAGCTATCGTGAACCACACTTGTGAAATGCCTATTGTGCCCACCAGACTATGAACAGCCCCAGGGCAATGACTTTAAATGCTGATGGGACACTCTGTCAAAGCCTACCTTGTCTTTGGTTTTTTAGGGCAGGTTGGCTGAGAAGCTTAAGACCCCAGAGACCTGACTGTGACTGTCCCCGACCCACAGCAGTTCATCCGACACCTTTCTGCCCTTCTCCCATGACTGTGCTGGGCAAACCAGCAGCACCCATTGCTGACAGAGGCTGCTGTCTGGCTTGTCCCGGGCACCTGACCAGGCACAGAGGCCACACAAAGACACTGAGTCTCGTTGCTGGAGGTAGTCCCTTTGCAGGATTTCATGGTGGCATCCAGTGAGGCTTCAAGTCCATTTTCTTTGATCCGGCAATTCCATTCCTAAGGCTGTCTCTTATAATTACACTTGCACAGGTGGCTGAACAATAGTGTCCACTCAAACTAGTGCTGTGTATAAAGGGAAAGATCAGAAAGGACCCAAAGGTGCGTCAGCAGGGGCTCAGTGAACCGCAGAGTGGGTGCACGGTGGAATAGTATGCAGCTGTGTAAAACCACAGGAAAGTTCTCTGGTACTAAGAAGAGACCACAGCCTGGGGACACAATGAGGGAACAGAAGCAAGGTGCATGACAGCACACATGGCACACTCCCTATCGTGTCAAAAGGGAGGGAGAGAGATATACCTCTGTGCTTGCACACGCCCGGGCTATTTCTGGCAGGACACATAAGAGGCTGGTGGCAGTTAATGCCTGTGCAGGGGAGAGGGGCTCACTTTGCCATGAAGATCAGATTTTACTATTCAAATGTTTTTAATGTACACATGTCGCCTTTAAAAAATTATTTTAAATTCTCAAAAAGGTTTGTAAAAGGCCCAAGTAAATGTCCTAGGAATGGAATCAATCATCAACCAGGGGTTTGTCACAGCAGAGCCTGACGCAGGCTCATGGTCAGAGTGACTGACGTTCTATCCAAAGACATCTCAGGGCAATCACAGCCATTGGAGGGCCTCCAGGTCAGCTTGAGTCCCAGCTGGGACCCTGCACAGGCCCTTCCCTATCTGACCCTCAGCTTCTCCTCAGCCACAAGGCAACAGACTAGGGTCTCTGCTGGACCTTCTTGCTTGGATAAATGGGCCTGCTCAGCAAACTGTAGAGTGCTATGCCCTGAGGCAATGCCCTGGATTGCCACTCACCCATGCCTCCTAATCACCCCAGGACAGGGTGCACACTTTACCTCTAATTGAGCATACCTCCCTCAATGCTGCCATCACCCTTGTCCAGGCCCACAGCCCCTCACTGGTCCTCCTGTCTCCCTTCTTGCCCTCTATAACTAAGGCTATCTGTCAGCAGTTAATTTGGGCCACATCCCTCCTCTGCTCCACATCCTCCATGGCTCCCACCTCCCTGGCCAACAAGGCCCTCCTGACCTGCTCCATCCTATTGCCATCAGACCCTGGCACTTTAGAGTGAGGGGTACCAAAGAGTAATGATGCAGGACAACAGATGTAAGTGGGATGTGCTGTGGACAAGCTAGAGATGTAGTCATCTAAGCTCTGCCCTCACCCCCATTCCTGCCGCCCTCTTCGGCCTCCTCGGCTGCTGTCCGGTATGTCCTCTAAATGGGCTAAGCATGGCCCTGCCTTGGGGCCCTTGAACTAGCTGTTCTCTCTGCACATGTTCCTCCTCTGCCTGCCCCTTCTCTTCCTCTGTTCAAGGACCACCTCCCCAGAGCAACCATTCCTGGCCACTCTCTGTAAAAGTTATCCCTGGTCACTCTCCTTCCTCTGTCCTGGCCCTAATTTTCACTACTAACATCGCTTTTGTATTAGTTTTATTTGTGGCCTGTTTGATGGCTGCCTGTCCTACTAGAATGTCAGCTCCAAGGAGGCAGAGTCTACGTCTGTCTTGATCACTGAAAATGCCTGGTACATAGTAGGTGCTCAGCTGATATGTGTTGACTGAACTAATGCCATCTGATTGGTTGATGAGGAAAGTGAGGCTCAGACAGGTTCAGGAATTCACCTGAAATCATGCAGACAGAAATCAATCCTGGGCCTACTTCCTTTTTTCTGATGCCAACCTGGGGACCAGCCACCCTGTGTGCTGGGTCCTCTGCTGCCCTTGGCAAGGGACCCAGCATCCCAGGCTTTCCTGCCTCTCTCTGCAGCAGAGGGAGGAGGCCCAGAGGTAAGCGGCATTCTTGTCCAAGAATAGTAATGATTCATTCCAGGGTGGGATCCAAAACAGAATTGCCTGAACGTCTGTTTTGAGTCGGCTGCCCTGCTGCCGTCCGTCCGGCACTCAGAGATGTAAATACGTCCTCCGAGCAGGCCAAATCGTTTCCTTTTGACTTCAGGCCAGCCATTTATTGGCCACGGCTCTCCCCTGGAGACTGGTGGAGGCAACAATTATAAAAGGGCTCCTCCGCCCAGAGCAGGGGCCGCACAGGCCTTTCTCCTCAGCCTCATCCTTCCGACAGCTGCAGGGGAAGATTGGCTGAGCAGGGCTTGTTTGCAAATATGACTCATTTCTTTGATTCTAATAAAGTCTAATGATACGTGCCGAGCTCCCATGGGCTCCCGAGGAGCTGAGAAGGAAGGCTGGGCTCCTCCTCAAGGGGCACTGGCCAGAATTGGCCCTGCCTGTCCCCAGAGCATGCGGGGAGGTAGGAGAGCTCAGGACAGAGGTGACCCCAGACAGTAAGGACCAGCAAGCGGACTGGGGTTCACCAGTGGCAGAAGCTCTGTTTCCCCATCACAGAACAACATAGCACTCAATTACAAAGGCAGCACGAAATGACAGTCTCTGGGGCTCCAGTGACTTCTCATGGGGACATGGAAAAGGGCATCTCACTGGTTGCTGCTGAGAATGGTGATTTAGCATTGCATACAGGGCAGGTGTGGGGGGTCCAGGCCGAGAGCAGACCCCACGAGTGACCTGAGAGTGGGGAGACACACGCACAGCACCATGTGACCTGTGACGGTGGACATGGGCTCCCAGGCCTGCCCTGCACATTTGGCTGGTGGTTGGTAGGGACACAGATGAAAGGTTAGCAGGAGGGGGGTCCAGTGTCAGACTTCAGGCATGGGGACTCCACTACCTCTAGCTGTGCAGGTGACCTTGAGCAAGTCACACCACACTCTGGTCCTCAGCGTCCAGAGGTTCCTGCTGAGCACATCGTGTCTTGGCTCCTCACACTCCAGCCAGGCTGTGCTCGGCTGTGCTAGCTGCAGTGTGGGGGGAAATGAGGTGACTGTCCTAAGGTCCTGTAGCTGGGACATGTAGGGGCTGGACTGGGCTGTGTCTCCTCCCACAAGGGAAAGTGAACATCACTCACACTGCGCAGGGTGAGGGGAGCCTGGCAAGGATAGTTAATAGGGTCCTTCCCTGCCTGGAAGAAGTCTCCACTTTGACAGGGTCTGGGTATCTCTGCTTCTGGGGCTTCCTCAGCACCTGTCAGGCAACATCTGCCTGGGAATGGATGGGCTGGAGCTACATCTGGTGCAGGCAAAAGAAGTGGAAGGAAATAACGGCTAGGGCTGGGCTTTGGCTCCAGAGACACCCAGACCAACTTTTGAGAGTATCCTCACTGCTCTGCAACCAGCAACGCCACCATAATGTCCTGACAAGCCTCACTCCATGCAAACCTGGAGCTAATTACCGCAGGGTTGCTGGCTATTTTCAGGGGCATCCATGCTAAGTTTCACCCTAAAGGGAACTCAGATCTGCTGAAGGCTGAGTCCTCGGCAGCCCTGTATATAGTTAGCCTTTCTTTCCTACCAGTATGTTCCCTAAGGAATGTCCAGAAAATACAGATTCAATCACATGACTCACCTTCTCACATACCTTCCATGGTTCCTTCTTCTAGAGAACAAGGCTCAAACTTATCACCCTAACATTCAATGCCTCAGCACTCCCTGACTCTGCTTGCCCATGCATCCTGTGGTCTGGCCAAACCAATTACTTGCTATTCCTAAACACTTATGTGCTTTTGGAATGCTGTACTTCTTCATGGGCTGTTCCTGCTGCCTGGAATATCTTTCTCCTTTTCTGCCTAGTGAGCTCCTATTCATCCCTCAAAGCCCAGCTCATGTGGCCCCTCCACTTGCAGTTGGAGAAGTGAGGCCAGACAGGGGTAGTCACTCCAGGCTGTGGAGTCCCGTGCAGACATAGAAATCAAAAAAGGAGTGAGCACTGGGTGAGCACTTACTGTGTAGAAACAGTCTCACTTGGTCTTTTCTGGCAAGGTAAGATCATAGTGTGGGAAGAGCAATGGAGGGTTCTGAGTTGGGAAATAATATATGGGATTCCAAACTGACTACAGAGATTTAAGGATGAGGCAGGGAGACACCACAAGGCCAATGCCAGTGTCCAGGAGAGTGATGATAGGTGTCCCGGGGGGGGGGGGAAGGGTGGACAGGTTCTGGATATACTTTGAAGGGGGAGCTAAGAGGACCTAAAGATTGGATTTGAGGTGGAAAGAAGAGTTTTGAGTGATGCCTAGATATTTTCCCTACTTAAAAAACCTTTGCAAACACTAAATGAAATGACAGAGGCAAGTTCCCAACTCTGTGTTCCTGGGAGCCAGTTATTCCCCATTGGTTCTCTCTCCTTTCCACTGTTTAATGCCAAGAAAAGGGAAGGCTCTTGAAGGCAGGAGATCAAATCCTTCTTGCCCGTGGTGCCCGGCTCAGGGCTGGAAGTGAGCTGAAGTCCCCGGCCCAGCCTATGCAGCCAGGCAGGACACGGAGGCAGGGCTGGTCCTCTTGTCTAAGCCTATTTGCCAGGTGTGTCCCCCCATACCTCACTCTTCCCCAGGGCTCTAGAATGAGGGTAAGTTATTTTTTAACATTCAGGTGGTCTCACAAAGCTCTGCTAGAACCTGGGGCTGGAGACACTGGGGGAGAAGTGTGAAGGCTGGACCAGGAGGCACCAAGCAGGCAGCTGGTGCTGTGTGGACAGAGCAAATCCATCTGCATCACACTGGCACTTGGGAAGGTGCCCGTGGACAAGGAACTTTCAGAAGATAAACACTGTCTCAGTGTCTTCTGGGCCAGAAAAGGGAGCCAGGGTGCACAAAACAGACTCTGGCAGACACGAACCCTAGAATTCCCTAGAGGGCCCAGTCTGGGGGATGGGCAGAAAGGGGTGAGGACTGCACACCCTGAAGACCTCATATTGCTCCCAGCAGCTCCTTCACCATGATCCCTCAGGCCTCAGACAACACGGAGATCAGCAGTGCCACAGAGAGGACACCCCTTTGCAACAGGGGGGTTTATTAGCATTTAAGAGGGGTAGCTCTTTAAGGTTATGGCACTGAAAAAGTTCCAAATACCTCTGGGGGGTGGTTTTATCCACCAGGAGGACTCTAACAAATGGTCATGACAACCCACATTTATCAAGCAGGTGCAGTTAGGGCGATGATGTTACAACCCTGGAAGGGCAGTGCTACGATGCAGGGGAGGACAGCCAGGCCACGGAGGGGAACGCCCCTGCCCGAGCTAGAAGTGGCAGAGTGTGGATTTGAGCCCAGGCGGACCAGGCCATGACTGAGGCAACGATGTCCCAGCAGACACCCATTGTAGCTGGCTCAGCGCCAGTGTTCTGGGAGGGGCAGGCCCGGTGGTCAGGCTATGCCAAGAACAGCAGAGAAAGGACAGGGCTGTGTCTCCGGCCCCATTCAAATGAGAAGAATGAAGTGCCAGCATTTCTTTGTCTGTAAACTCAGCTCTCCAGAGAGAGGGGAGCTGAGGGGTGATAAATGTGCCTTTCCTGGCCTCTTTGTTTGCAAGTGGAAAACTCATTTGCATGGAGAGCTCCCAAGTCCTATCAGGCCTGGGGACCTGCCCATGAGCACATACCAAAGTCAAGACAGTGACACAGGCCACCCAAGTAAGGGCTCCTCACACCAAGGAGGGCAATGGACCCCTTCCTTGCCTAGGACTCCCCAGCCCCAACCCTGGGCCACCACAGGGACCCATTAGCAGGCAGCTCCTCCTCTCCAGCCCAGCTTCTAAGAAGTGGGCAGACACCTTGAAAACAGCAAAGTCACACACAAAAGTGAGAAACTATCAACTTGTCATGAGTAGAGGCCATCCCCTTCCTTAATAGCATCCCCTGCTCCAGCTCACCTCCACCCAAAGCCTCATCTCAGCTGTTTCCACGGTGGAGGGGGCTATAACTGAGTGCTGAGTCCCAATTTTAATAGCTCATGAAAAATAGGAAAATGATCTAACAGATGTTTGATCAGCCTCCAAGCCCTGTGTCACAAGGACATCCCTGTACATCAGCTGACTGAGAGCTCTCTGAACTCCAGGACTCCACACCATGCCTTCCTGATGGCTGCCCTCTCTAGTTATTTACTGGTTCATGTAAAAATGCCCACAGTTCTCTACTCCTCTTATGAAGAGACAGAGTTTATTTCACTCCCCCCCCCCCTTGATTCTGGGTTTGTCTTGTGGCTTTCTTGGGCCAAGGGCACATTAAGAAAAATAATGGACTAAGGCGCCAGCCACGTACACCTAAGGTGGCCGGTTCGAATCCCCAGCCCGGACCCGCCAAACAACAATGGCAGCTGCAACCAAAAAATAGCCGGGCGTTGTGGCGGGCGCCTGTGGTCCCAGCTACTTGGGAGGCGGAGGCAGGAGACTCGCTTGAGCCCAGGAGTTGGAGGTTGCTGTGAGCTGTAATGCCACGGCACTCTGCCCAGGGGGACAGCTTGAGGCTCTGTCTCAAAAAAAAAAAAAAAAAGAAAAATAATGGAAACCAGGTGTTGTGGCGAGCACCTGTAGTCCCAGCTACTCAGGAGGCTGAGGCAAGAGAATCACTTGAGCCCAAGAGGCCACAAGGACCAGTTGTTCCTGACACCCCAACAGGAACCCAAACCCTGAGGACCTGAGCTGACTCAGACACACGAAGGAGCCTAAGACCAGAAGAACTGCCCAACCAAACTTGGCCCTACCACTCACAAGCAGAAGAATCAAGAACCAAATAAAAGATTATTGTTTGAAGCCACCAAGTTTGGGATAGCTGTTACACAGCAAAAGCTCACTGATATGTATTTTTCACTCTATCTGCTCATCTTTTCATTTGAGTAACTATTTCAGCTTCATATATGCATTTTTCTCTGTGCAGTAACAGAGAATATATTTTTTCTAAAATACATCAAGAAAACTGTCATTTCAGTTTCAGACAACATAAGTACGTATAGCTGCCTTGGAGAAATAGTCCTCACAGGGATCCCACAGGGGAGGGTAGGAAGGAGTCCTTCCCCTCATTTGACAGTTAAAGAAACTGAGGCTCAGAAAGGAGCAGTGACTTGCCTAAGGTCAAAGAGCCAGTAAAAGGCAGAACAGGGATATAATTCCAGGCCTCCCTGTAACCAAAGGCAGAGATTTAGCGCCATACCTGTACCCTCCTTCCCTCCCCCAGAAGACAGTGACTCCCATGGCCCCAGGGAGAAGATGAGGGAGTGGGCTGCCCTCTCTGTGCCCACCCTCTTCCTTCCTGTGTGAGGTGGGCCTTACTCCCAGTACTCGATGACAGGCGAGGTGAGGTTGCTGGTGTTGAGGGTTATCCACAGGCTCTTGTTCTTACGCATGGTGTCCTCCATGCACTGGGGCGTGTTCCAGCTGTGGTTGCAGTGTGCCCAGGGCAGGGTCTCCTGGAATGACTGGAACAGGTAGTACATGGCCCAGGCTAGGATGACGATGTAGTAGACATTCAGGAGGGACACAATCACGATGGAAGCATAGCCGATGCCTGCAGGTTGCACAAACAAGACAAGCATGCATCACAAGGGTGGCCAGACCTACCACGGCCACGTCCTCAATGGGAAGGCCATGCCATCCCCAGGCCTGGGGCTGGGAGAGGGCCTTCAACAGTGACCACTAAATCTGCAGGATGAATGGAAAGGTGAAAGAATGGAGGGCTAGATAAATGGGGTGTTAGCTGAACGGATGGATGCATGGAAGGGGGAGCGAGCAATGATGGTTAGATGAATGGTTGGCTGGATGTGTGGACAGACAGCTGCATAGATAGATACTGGATCGATGGATATTCATATTTGTTGGATGGATGTACGGATGGTGGTTGGTTAGAATGGATGGATGAATGAGCAGATGCATGAGTGGATGGGGAGATGAATGGAAAAATGGATGGATAATTTAATTGCTGAGTAGTCTAGTGGAAGAAAGGTTTAATGGGGGAATGCATAGATTTATAAGGATGTCTGAATGAACAGACTCACATATATTCCTATACTTGCAAATTAAATCCAAACAGTGATTATTTTGAGTGCATACTAAATACAAAGCAGAGGACTGATTAAGCTACCATTAATTTGGCACTTCTTATGCATACAAAGCATTTTTACATGGCTATGCCATTATGTCTTCATAGCAACCCGCAAAGTAAGTACATCACTGTATTTCTACTTTACAGATGAGGCAATGATGTTTCCAAAGAGAAAAGAAAGCGACTTGAATCCAGACAGAAAGCCTGTCTAACCTGCCGCAGTGCTTATCTACTGTGCTGTACTGGTAGGAAGTGTCTCTGCCCAATGACCTAATAAAGGGACACAGGAGGGCCCTACTAAGCAGCCAGCGGGTGCCGGGCACTTGGCAAGTCTCCTTCCCCCTTACTCTTATGCAATGGCACCTACATCACACCTGTACTGTCCTGGCTGTTCTCCTGTGTCAGCCACAGAGCTCAGTGATGCATGAGGATCCAGTGTACCTGGCAAACAGTAGGCACTCAATAAACATGTGCAGAACTGGTGAACACCAGGCCCCAGGTGACCTTTGTCCCATACTCACCAGCGAATAGGGGGCAGATTTTTTCCCAGCAGGTAATGCCCCCTTCAGAGGTGTACTGGCCTATGATTATCTCCAGGAAAAACACAGGCAGGCCGCTCCCAAACAGGAAAATAAAATATGGTATGAGAAATGCACCTGCAGAAAGCAGAATGGGACAAGGGTCAGGCTGTCACCACCACAGGGGCTGATGCAGAAGCTTCTCACTCCCAAGCCTCCCAGACAATGGAATCAGAGAGAATGAGTGGGGGGCATGAGGGATCACGGCCAAACTCTCATTACTGGTGGAAAATTCTCCAGGGCCTTCTGCTGCTATAGTCTTTCCGGCGGGCCCTCTCTCTCACTTTCTCTCTATCTACCAGGTACTTCAAGCTTCAGAGCCTTTGCTTAAGCTGTGCCTCCCACCTGCCTACCTTCTCCACTTCTGTCCCTCTGAATAAGCACTGCTTGGGCTGTAAAAGCCATCTTAAATATCACCTCCTCATCGGAACCTTCACCAACCTCCTGTCTGTCCAGTTCAGGAGGCAAGAAGAACTTTCCAGGAAGGGTCGGCCACAGGAAGAACAGGAAGTGGGCATCTCCAGCCAGGGGGATGGGACCCGGGGGAGGAGCAAGGGGCACAGAATCGGGGTGGGGTTCCTACCTGGTGTCCACTAATGGCTTCAGCGGGTCCATAAACCCTTTGAAACTGTGGGCAAGTTGGGTCTAATGTATGTGCTTTGTTCTGGGGAGCGTCTAGGACACTCATCAGAGTCCCAAAGGGGCCTGAGACCTAGAAAAGGTTAAGAAACCAGGCTCTAAGGGAGAATTCCCTGAAAAGTGGTTCTCTTAATATGGGTGGCACATGGCATGCCCATCTCTGCTGCTAGTCAAGCCGCTGACAACAGGCAGTCACGGGGACTCCTCCCTAGTCAGTTCTCTTCAAGCCCCTCTGAGGGCACCAGTGAGGAAGTTTCCACTGGGTCCTGTCTGACTTTAGTATCTCTTCTAGGAGACCTGTTAGAAGACTCTAGCTCAGAGCCTTCAGGAGGCAAATACAGAAAACAAAAAACCCAAACCAACCAACTAATCACCCCAGCCAGAAGAGAGAGGTTACTTAAAAAAAAAAAAAAAAAAACTTCATCATATTTTTTTTCCTGAAAACCTTTTCATCATGACAAATGGTTTTCCACTTAAAGGGAGAAATCAAGCCTGCATTTTGGAATACATTTGGTAAAGTTAGAAAAATTAAAGCAAACGTAAGAAAAGATAAAGTAAGAAATAGTCATTGGTAAGTAAATATGGCAAAATTTACAAAAGGCGTATGACTCTGCCCAAGGAAACGTGGGCCTCTTCAGATATGGCAAAATAAGGGATCAGAGGGGGTAAGGAACTTGCTCAAGGTAGCACAGCAAGACCCTGGCAGAACAGTTCCCTGATTCTCAGTCATGCTCATCTCTTATCTCTAAGGTGAGGTGAGGTGGGGTGGAGTGGGGTGGAGGGTGTGGCGGACTGACCTGGGGAGGTCAGCAAGGGGGGTCTAGGGTAAGGTGACCAGATTTTAACATTAGTAAAGCGTGACACCATTGATCGTGGGTGGGGCGGGGGTGGGGCGGAGGAGGGGTGTGTTCTTGATTAAAAATTTGGTCTATGGAGCAACAAAAATTTTCATAGAACGCAAAAATAGTATTGTAATTTTTTTTAATTTCAACATAAGTACAATTTACAAATGTAATACATTAAAAAAAATTATGTATAGGGCGGTGCCTGTGGCTCAAAGGAGTAGGGGGCCAGTCCACCTGGGCGACCTTGCCCAGGAGAGGAGTAGGGAGTTTACATTAGCCTTTTCATTTCCAAATGAAATTACATTAACCTCTTCATTCCCGAATGGAGTTACATTAACCTTTTCAGCAGCCGAAAACCGTATATTCCCTTCCCTAGATTGTCGTGCATTCTTTCCAAAAATTGGGACTTTTTAAAAACGCCGTGGGACGCAGGACAAATTGTTAAAAAGCAGGATGAACACAGAGGGCCACTCATGCCCTGGTCCTACCCTTCGCCTCCAATGCCACTGGCTCTGGAGGGTCCCCCCCTAACCTATAGCCCGACCCAGGCTCACCTCCGCCATTTTTGTAGCAGAGGTACGGGAAACGCCAGACATTGCCCAAGCCCACGAAGCCGCCAGCCACAGAGAGCACAAAGTCGATCTTGTTGGACCACTTCTCCCTCTGGGGGGGTTTCCCCTCAGCCTCGTCTTCAGGCCGTGTGCCCGGGCTCTTCCCTGGCGATGGCTTCAGGATGTCCTTGTGGAAGTCTTTCAGACACTGCAGCTTCTCTTTGGTGGCCATCTCCTCGCTTTCTGTAAGGGACAAAACAGAACCAACACGTAGCTGGTAAGGGACCTCCTGTGTGTCTTAGGCACAAGCTCTTCCTTCTCATCTACAGGCCAAATCCCAGCTGTCCAGGCCTCGGGCAGGGGGCCTGGCACCCGCTCCTCTGTCTACTGCACACACAACAACAGTAAGTTGGATGCCCCCTTTAGGAGACCAGGACCTCAGGATCCAGTCTGGGGATTCTGGGGACACTTGCAACCCACAGAACGCACAGGTCCCACTCCCTGAGCACCTGCTGAACAGAGGGGCTCTGGGCCCCATGCTTGTCAGCCCCGAATGTCATAGCTGATGATAACCTCAGCCCTGGCATCATCTTTTACAAAATGCAACACACCCCAGGCAGTTCTAGACACCTTCCAAATAACGCCTGTGGTCTCCAGAAATTCACAGATACTATTTTCTAATTTTGAATTTGCACCAAAAAAAAAAAAAAAAAAATGGAGGCTCCTATTTCACTAATGTGCAGCGCCTCGTCCGCAGACGTGCCCATTCACAATCGTTGAAAGAAAGGATAAAGGGGCAAGGAGGAATGGTGCTTCAGGCTGGAATGGAAATAATACTTGAGAATGGGTTTCCATCAACACATAGAAAACGGATGTTTATGGAATATATTTTCAATTTACTGACTAGTCAGAGCTGCACTGGTGAGGATTATGCAAGCTGCTTGGTAATCTCCATTTGTACGTCCTTCCTTCTCTAACCATTCTCGGCTTACTCCAGAGGCAGCCGCCCCCTGCGGACCCCATCCACCCACCCAGCAGGAGGTGGATATCACTGGCTACCCAAAAACTGACCAGGGTTACCGAGAGCAACCTGAGTCTTAGCCCACAGCGAGAGGGTAGTGTGCAAGACCACGCCCCCCACCTTCAAGGGCTAAGCCATGATGTGCCAAAGGGAAACAAGATATAGACACGCTGGGGGAACCCAGAGTGGCTCCTCTCTGAGCTTCGGTTTCTCCATCTGCAGAAGAGAAAGACCAGCAAAGGTGGCTGACTCAGCTAAGCAGCGGGGGACACGACTTATTTTTTCTTCAGGATGCAAGTCAGTGACCAACATTGAAATACCTGAGTTCAGAGAAAAGTCAAGATTTCTAGGTTCTCTTGAAAAATTGGAAGATCAGGCTACAGTAGGCTCATACTCCTTCCTTCACATGGCACACCTCGCCAGCTCACAACCTGGCTCACAGGACACACGGGCCTGGCCAGCTCCTGCTGGCCTCCGAGTTTGTCTTCTCATCAAAGCGAGTTTGTCTTCTCATCAAAGCGCCTGGTGCTGCCTGAAAATACCACATTCCTTTCCTTGCTTGTTGACTGTCTCCTTGACTAGAATAGACCTTCCTGGGGACAAGGACCTCATCTGCCTTACTCACTGCTGTGTTCCCAGCGCCCAGTGCCAGACCTGCCACACAAGGAGGGTGTCAGGCAAGAGCTGCTGGGTAGATGGTTCCCAGAGTGGCATCTGCAAGCAGCTGGTGACAACTGCAAACCATGGCCCTGCCTCTTCCCAACTGCGCCATGCAGGCAGCTGTTTAGCCTCGGAGCCTTGCAGGCAAGGTGAGGTGGGGGCTGTCTGAGGACTCACCAGCCCCACCCACTGGGTCCACAGGAGCTGTGCTCTGAGGGGCAGAGGCACAAAAGCACAACAAACCCCCCATTTCCCCCACGCCTCCTTCCTCTCCTTGGGGTGGGGGACCCCAATTGTTTCACTATCTGGCAGAGAGCAGACCAAGAAAGGTTTCCTGGAGCCGCCGGGCAGCTCACGGAGCCCTTCCTCTGTCTGCTGGGGCATCCGCCATCGCCTTTCTCTGCCCTGCTCCCTCGGGGCCAGGCGCGGGTTAGGCGGGCCAATGGCTACTGTAAAAATAGCCCGACGGCCGGCATTGTTCTTGCATTCATCTGCACGGCCCTCGATGGTTATCTGGGCAGGTCATTGTGGGGCGGCTTGGTGGGCGCAGAATTGGAGGATGTGAGGGTCAACTCCCTCTGAGTGAAGGTGGTTCTTAGAGTGACCCAGAGCCTGTCGCCGAGAAGGGCTGGGCGAGCTCTTTTGGACTCTCCTTAGACCTCAGGGCGGGAAGGGATTTCACAAGGTCAGCTGGGCATTCAAATTCAAGAAAGGGAGGCTATCCCTTCTGTTCACATTCCCCATTAGGGGAAGGGGATCTTATGACCTCATGGGTGACTGGGACTGCAAAAGCTCGGCCCTACTAAGAGCTGGGATCTGCTTCCCTAGGACAACCCTGCAAGACCTGGCCCTGCCCGCTGGGCCCCCAGACCCACTTGCTCATGCCGCAGTGATACCCAGAGAACCGTCTAGAAAACTGGGAGGCAGCAACAAGATTTCTCTAAGACCTTTAGCTCTAGGCTCTGGTTTCTACAAAACAAGGCCTCTAGCCCCTCACACTCAGAACCCCATTGTCCCATAGCCGTGGCTGAGCTAGGATGAGGGTGGGGGCCTGGAAAGGTGCAGAGCAGGGGCCTGTCATATATCTGGCATCATGGGGGTCTCCCCACTTCCCTTTCCCAAGGTGGGCTCACCTGTCCACCTATGGGAGCTGCCATCACAGGTGCACCTGCCCTTGGAGAGCACACAGCTGGCAGCCCTGCCCTTGCAAAACCCCATTCCGGCAAGACCTGCCTGTACATTCCTGGCATCCACCCACAATCTCTCAGTTGCCATGGCAACCACGGGCTCCAAGCCCCATCAGCCCTTGCATGGGCATCTGTGGCAGCCTCCTCACAGGTCTTCCTGCTGCTACTCAGCCCACCCCCAAGCTATTCTCAACACAGCAGCTGAGGGCAGCTTAAACAGCATTATCAGATCGTCATGCCTCCCCCTAGCCCTCCTGTCACTCCTAGGAGAGAGCACAAGCTCCTTACCATGGCCCACCAGGTCCCAGCATGGGCCCCTGCTCCCCTCTGGCCCCATCTCCTGCCTCCCCTTTTCCTTAGAACATGGGCCACAAAGAACTGCTATATGGATCCTCACTCTAGAAAGCTCTCAGGCTCCCTGCCAGCTGCCCCAGGCCCTCTGGTGGCAGCCTGGCCTCTGGAGGAATCAGAGTATAAGCCCTGACCCAGAAGCTGAGAGCCATTTCCCGCCTGGGTTACCTCAGGCAAGTTACTCAACCTCTCTGGTCTTCAGTCTTCATCTGTAACATGTGGGTAACAGTGCCCACTTCATGGGGGCATTGTGAGGGCTCAAAGAGAGGAGTGCCCAGAAAGTGCTTAGAGTACATGGCACATGGCAAGTACAGGCAGTCCCGAGTTACAAACACCTGACTTACATACAACTCATACTTATGAACGGGGGTTATTGTGGGTAATGGGTAAATACACCTGCTACAACTTACATATAAATTCAACTTAGAAACAAACCTACAGATCTTCTTGTTCATAACCCAGGGACTTTCTACACCCCATAAATACTAGCTGTTATTATTACTGCTGCTATCACTTCAATAATAATGATTATCAGGTCCACCCCTGACCCTGGGCTATGTAAAGCCTTCATCCTACCCAGGGTGAGAGCAGCAAGACACAAGAGATGACAACTGACACCCTGAGGTCAGCTGTTACTCATCTGGGAGTAACAGTGATCAGGACGTTGCACTGATGTTGTGCCTGAACCCCTGGCTTATGGCTGCTCTGTCCTCTGGCAGCCCAGTCTGACCTCAGAAGACACCTTCCCTGGCATCCCCAGAGTAGTACCTCCATGCTTCCTTGCAGACTCGAATTTAGGCCAGTCACCCCCCACCAACCTCGCCAAAAACTGACCACCCGGGAGAGCAGTGAGTGCTCAGGAGCTCCTTCCACAGGCTTCCAGCAGCCTGTTTCCCTGCCTCCGCCCACGAGAGCTGTTTTCCTTGGCACTGGGCCCAGGGTTATTTTGTAGCGGCCGAGATATATCATTCCCCATTTTAAGAGCTTCCTCTTTGATTATTATAGCTACAAGCGATTAGAAGCCTCTCTGACACAGAGGCTCTGGGATGACGCCTCCACCCGCCCTCCTCGTCCCAGCTGAACATTCCCTGTTTCTGTTCCAAGGGTGGCAGCCAGAGCCAGCCGTGCCTGAAGACCGCATTGCAGATCACCTGGTCAGATTTGGCACATAGGCTGGCAGATTTAACCCAGTGCCAGTGACACCATGAATTTACTTTGCTCCTTCTCTGTTTAAAACTACCAGAATTTTGAGCACTCACTCTGTGCTGAGCTGTTTATAAACAGTTGCCTATTCTTTCTCCTAACACTCTTACTATGGAAGGGGCTTCTAGTATGATGAGGGAAGCTGAGGCTTCCGAAGGGAAGCAAGCAGCCTGGCTGAGGCTACACACATGGGAGGAAAGGAGAGAGACAGCCAGAATTCCCACCTTGGTCTGCCTCATGCCTAAGATACTGAGCAAAGCATGGAAAGAGGTCTCGGCATTCTTTGCGAAGGGGAATGCAGAGTGAGCAGGGTGGGGATCCCTGGGAAACAGGTGTCCTGGGTGTCCTGGCTGCCCGGCTCCCCTACAGTGCCCAAACACCAGCCGGCTGCCATGCCTCCACCCCCTCCCCCCCAGCTTCTGCCTCCTCAGTCTCTCTCTGGTAGAAAACAATGACTTAAATCTCTTATTGTCACTGACTTAACCACTGAGGAGCTTCTGCCATTGTTTTAGCAAGAGGGCAGGTCTTGTCTGCTTCCTCTGTGGCATGCTCCCCCACCACTAAGTGCCTGGCACAGAGCAGGGCTCCAAGAAAGATCTCTGGGCTGGGTCTGACAGTTTTCTGCATGTCAGCAAACCTCTGGGGCTTAGGAAAACAGCTCCCAGGATCCCAGAACTGGGGCAGGAGGAGACCTGGATGACATACTCACTTTACAGGTGGGGAAATCTGAGGCCCAAATGACCCCCAGCCCCTTGCCCTGCCCTGGCCTGCCCAGAGGAGGTGTCTTTCTCCTTTTCCCATTTGCCTGTCTACCCCAGAAC